CCTTTCAACACAAATATGTTTCTGTGATGTGACCACTGCATGTGTGTGCAGTGAAAATCCCTAGTATTGTTCGTAGACTTCCGTCATGACGACTGTGGCTGTACCCAAGCCAACTGGGGCATGACTGACTGTTTGTGCTTCGTATAGATTCATGTTAGAAATGTCAAATAAATAAGCTAAATTAAATGGGTCATTTAGCGTGTCCTATATGTGTACCTATACACAGTGTACAAAATATTATGAACACCTTCCTAATATTGAGTTGCACCCCCTCCCCCCTTTTGCCCTCAAAACAGCCTCAATTTACTGGGGTCATGGACTCTACAAGGTGTCGAAAGCGTTCCACAGGGATGCTGATCCATGTTGACTCCAATGCTTCCCACAGTTGTGTCAACTAGGCTGGATCTCCTTTGAGTGCTGGACCATTCTTGATACACACGGGAAACTGTTGAGCGTGAAAAACACAGCAGCACTGCAGTTCTTGACAGAAACCGGTGCGCCTGGCACCTACTACCATTCCCCGTTCAAAGGCACTTAAATCTCACCCTCTGAAAGGCACACATACACAATCCTTGTCTCAATTGTCTCAAGGCTTAAAAATCCTTCTTTAACCTGTGTGGATTTAACAAGTGACATCAATAAGTGATCATAGCTTTCACCTGGATTCACCTGGTCAGTCTATTTCATGGGAAGAGCAGGTGTTCTTAAGGATTTGTACACTCAGTGTACATCTATATCCATTCAGTCAATATTGATGTGTACTACTAACTGCAAACATGAACATGTTGACATTGACAAAGCTGCATTTTTCTTATTTTTACAGATACAGCTAGCTTCCCTCTCTACTGGCCCAAAGATGGAGGTGATAAGGACCTTCAACCAGACTCCAACCTCCAGCCATCCAACCCCCACCCGCAATGACTCAGACACGTGCATTACCCTGTACAACCACCGGGAGTACGCCCGAGTCCTCATGCCCCTCTTCTACTGCATCATCTTCTCTGTGGGGTTGCTGGGCAACGCCCTGGCCTTCCACATCATCCGCCCCAATGTGAAGAAGTTGAACTCCACCACACTCTACTCCGCCAACCTGGTCATTTCCGACATCCTGTTCACACTGTCACTACCGTTACGGATAATCTACTACGCCCTGGGCTTCCACTGGCCCCTGGGGGAGATTCTATGTAAGATCGTGGGGCTGATCTTCTACATCAACACTTACGCCGGGGTCAACTTCATGACCTGCCTCAGTGTGGACCGGTTCATTGCTGTCGTCTTGCCGCTCCGATTCGCACGCTTCCGTAAGGTCTCCAATGTTCGGTACATCTGCGTCGGGGTGTGGTTTCTGGTCTTAATACAAACTCTGCCCCTCCTCTCCATGCCCATGACTAATGAGGAACCTGATGGCTTCATCACCTGTATGGAGTATCCCAACTTCGAACCGGTGCCCAACATCTCCTATATCCTGATTGGCGCCGTATTCCTAGGCTACGGAGTCCCCGTGGTGACCATCCTGGTGTGCTACTCCATACTGTGCTGTAAACTCTGCCTTGCCGCCAAGGCCAATCACCTGACGGACAAGTCGGGGCGCAGCCAAAAAGCCATCGGGGTGATCTGCTGCGTCTCCCTGGTGTTCGTGGTCTGTTTCAGCCCCTATCACATCGACCTCCTCCAATACATGATCCGAAAGCTGATCTACAAACCAGACTGTGCTGAACTCACAACCTTCCAGATCTCCTTACACTTCACTGTGTGTCTGATGAACCTCAACTCCTGCCTGGATCCGTTCATCTACTTCTTTGCCTGTAAGGGTTACAAGATGAAGGTGCTGAAGATCCTGAAGAGGCAGGTGAGCGTGTCCTTCTCTAGTGCAGTACGGACATCGCCCGAGGGGTCGACCAGAGACGTCATCGATGGTAATAAGATCCACCTCAACAGCACCAGACACGAAAAGTAAGAGAATGATGAAAGGTGAGCCGACAACCAACCAACAGACTGGTGAGCCAACAACCATCAATCAGATTGGTGTGCCAACAAACAGTAAACAGACCAGCCAACAGACTGGTGTGCCTACGACCAGCAACAAGACCAGTGAGCCAACAACCAGCAGACAGACCGGTGAGCCAACAACCAGTCAACAACCAGTGAGAACGATGAGCCAATGACCAACAGTTCAGCAGCCAACAATCAGTTAGAACGGTGAGCCAGAAACCAGCAAATTGCCAGAGGATCTCTGAGGAGAACTATAACTGTATAACTGATTAAAAGTTTAAAGAGGCATCTTACACCCTCTGGAAATAGAGCCACTGATTGAGGACAGCCCAGGTAGCAGACTGTTTCTGCATCCAACTAAGTTTTTGCCTCTTGCCAATATAGCGACAAGTTGATCAAAAGCAGAAACACATAAACACATAAGGACATTATTAAACAGCATGGCCACTTGCATGAGAAGATGTCTTAAAATGTACAGGAGAATATTACTTAATGGTTTCAGAGACTCTGACCAAAGAATAGAAAGCTTTGGAACATTACAATGCTGAGGAATGAAGACTATAAAACAATGTTGGTTATATCTTTTGTGTAAACACTTCATTAATTATTCTTCAAATAACCTTATGATTTTTGATGAATGTAAAATATTTCAACACCATGTACTAAATTTAACCATGTTCCTCAATTAATTTCATCAGGATCAATGACATTTTTTACCAAGATGTTCAAATGTGTGAATTAGTTTGTTCACAGTGAGGGTTTCCCTCTGTTTTTGATTAATGTGATTACTGTATGTGACTATCAAACCATTTAATTTTGAATAAATAAGAAATAGAAAGAAAACATCTCTTGTGGTGTTCAAGGTCATGTGGTATTTCTCAGAAAGACACAGTGAATGCCCGTCCATATTGGTAATGTTGACCTGACTACATTGTAGGCCCACAACGCTTGCCCAACACAACGCAGTAACTTTGCTGAGCCCCAAGAGGGCAGTGTTACATAGAATACAGTAGAAAACGGACTTGTAAAGTAGATTGTAAATGTAGATTGATTGTTTTATAACACAAATGTGTCCTTTATTTACTGGATGCTTGTTAATAAAGTAGTTTCTAAATTAGCCTGGGGACATGCCTAAGAAAGTTGAGTGTATGTTTTATTAGTTTGGAATGATCAACCCACATAGACCTACATAAGTCTGTCCACCAAAACATTTACACCTGGTAGACTAACCTGTATTGTTGTTTTCTGAGGGTGCTGTATGGAGTGATATTAGTGCCACCACAAATTGAATCTGAATTGAATCGTTGTGAATTTGTATTCAGAAAAAGAATAATTGAATTCTCTAATATCATTCCATGGTGCTGGGCTCCATGGGAATACGCATATAGCAGGTGATTGAACAGATTGCTTAATGTTCACCAGAATCTATGAGTCTGACTCCAACCTAAAGAAGTGCTGATGGAAACACAGACATGATGCCAACCACATGAAGGCTATCACAGGAAGACAACATCACACATACTGTTGTCACAACAACATAATGCTAAGAACACAACACACCATCTGGTATAGACAGCAGACTGAGGGAAAAAGAGATGTCCAACTATATTTATTTCGAAAGATATACCTCAGAAGCAAAGCATATAAGTGTGGGAAAGTGTTACAGATGGTTCTCTCCATTGTGTCTCAAATCCTCAGTGGCGGAGATGATCTGTGATGATAATGGAAAAGATGAGTCTGCATGGAGAAAACAGGTTAGCTCTCATGACCCTCAAGGCACACACACACACACACACACACACACACACACACACACACACACACACACACACACACACACACACACACACACACACACAAACAAACTTCCTATGCTATGTTTTCATGCCCCGGTCCATCCTTGACCTTGAGTCGTCTCACTCAAGGTGCGCAGCCAGTTTGCATCCATTAAAAAGCTGTGGCTCTGTAAAAACCATCTCCTGGTGTCAGCGTAGTGTATTACCAACCGTTCTTATTTCCTGTTTATATGGCGACTACCTCAACATCCTGTTTTTAATTACTTCTCTCCGGCAGCATATGCTTCTGGCGGCAACCTGCTGCGGATTACTCCCCCAAGAGCTAATGCGCTGTGACAGACCCCACTTTTCCAATCAATAACTGTTCTTCCTAAATCTGCCATCTTCTCCGCCTGCTAAACGCACTACCCATTTCTAATCGCACATCATTTTCTTTAAGAGTTTTTAATTGCAGATTGAAGCTGTATATCTTTCTTGAGTTCCCTGATGAAGAAATGAGAGGCCGCATACACAGCAATAATGTGCGGGAATATAATCTCTATATCTAAGTATAGTTTTTGTCCAGCACCGGTTATCTAAAGTTTGGGAAGTGCGTATCACTTTCTAGTGTTTCTTCCATAGCCAACTACTACCCTCTTAGAAAAAAAGGTGCAATCTAGAACCTAAAACGGTTCTTCGGCTGTCCCCATAGCAGAACCCTTTGAAGAATCATTTTTGGTTCCAGGTAGAATCCTTTTGAGTTCCATGTAAAACCCTTTCCACAAAGGGTTCTACATGAAATGCAAAAGTGTTCTACCTGGAACCAAAAATGGTTCCACCTGGAAACAAAAATGGTTCCACCTGGAAACAAAAAGGGTTTTCATATGAGGACAGCGAAAAACCCTTTTGGAACACTTTTTTCAAAGAGTGTATATCAACAGTGAAAACAATACAACACAGGAAGTGAAGGGGGTTTTACACTATCTCGGTCCTTCTGAAATAACACTGTATTCACTTCCCCCTTTGTGTGTTGAGCTCAACACTCCGAGAGAGAGAGAGAGAGAGAGAGAGAGAGAGAGAGAGAGAGAGAGAGAGAGAGAGAGAGAGAGAGAGAGAGAGAGAGAGAGAGAGAGAGAGAGAGAGAGAGAGAGAGAGAGAGAGAGAGAGAGAGATGGCTGGATGCCAAATCGCATCACAAGTCTCTTGAAGTGTTTGTGAGGCCTCTTTGGTAGAATGCTGAGAGAGAGAGGACATGATCAAAATCAATGAGGTAAGTAGGTGCCCTTTTACTGAGCTCCCAGCACTATCTAGATCTAGCTAATCTCTTCTGAATAAAAGTACTACATTTAGTTTGGAGATTAAATTGTACTTTTTGGGTATGTTTTAAATACATACACAGAACATATTGGTTGATCAAACACACATACGATTATAGGGAGAAGCATCTGTTTCTCGATTTATTTCTCAGTTGTCTCAGATTAAACCACACTGAGTGAAATCTTGATACATAAAAGTATAATTACAATTGAATAATATAACATGCTGTAATATGATATGATTATAGTCGTAATAATCTGATTTTTGGGCCTGCAGACCAGTTATACTAAACTATTCACCCTCGACACCAACTCAATTTACAGATCTATCTTCCAACTGAAAGGGAAGTTAAAGACATGCTCCTGAACTTTGGCAAATAATTAGGGCTCTATTCTAATCAGATCTGCTTTAGCCAACATCCGCATAGCGGTTGTTTTAGCGGAACTGTGTTAGAGCTGTCAAATCCACAAGTGGCTCCCAGCATTATACCTAAAGCGGAGTCACATTAACAGAAATCCTATGCAGCCTTGTTTACAAGTTTGAACACTGGAATGTGAGATGTAATCTACACCTTGATTAGGATGATAGAAATCCTAATTCTTTTGTTTAATGATTCTTCAATTTGTGTGTAATTATTTCTATATGGCCTACACTTTCTCGCTCTGAACTTCTAACGCAAGTGTGGCGGGTGTGGCTACGTAACAACGCGCAAGAGCAGCTGCTCACCGATTTGACGGCTCCAACACAGTTCCACCTCCGACACGCCAAAATATCTGCTATGCTGGTGTCTACTATCGCCGGTTAACGCTTGATACGCTTTGGGCTGGATGTGTCTATGTGTAGTTTATACATGCATAATCTATCTACTTTCAGAACTACTGGTTAAAAAGTATACAAAAGTACTGGATAATCTCTTTAAGTGAGAGAGGGTTACTAACCCATTTACCATAAATGGTCACCAAAGGTTTTACAGTCAAGATAATCAAAAGACTCCCATCAAGTACTGTACTTTCACTTCTCTATCTCTTATACCCTATTCTCCTTTTCTGCTCTGATTCAAAACCCTGATTTCCTTTCTCTCGTAAGCTTGTAAAAAAAAATCTACAGGAACAGGGCTCAATGTCACATGGATGTCTGTCTCTATGCTCTGTATCTGTTACTGTAAGACATATACACATGCTTACAGTAAGACAATTGTACACTAAAACTTTCACCTTCCTCTTCATCTACTGTTGATACTGCAGGTGCACAGCTGGGTCATTCTACAAATAGAGTGCCTTTTAGGTAGTGTAATTTTGTCAAAAATAACTATTTATTTCAACTAATTTTAACATTTTGTCATAAAGAGCACATGTTCAACTTCATAACAAACATGTTTTCCCATCTCAAGAGGTTACATTAAGAAAAATGACTATAAAAGTGACAGGGTTGATTCTAACAGGGTTGACGATTTCATCTTAAAATCAGCTATTACTCCCATTGTGATGGGGGAAATGGAAGCTTATTGTCTGCAATATGGAGGGGAAATTGAATGCAAGCTTAACAACAATATTTTAACTTGATAAAACATTTCTAGCCTATCTATCTACAGTGGGGGGGAAAAGTATTTAGTCAGCCACCAATTGTGCAAGTTCTCCCACTTAAAAAGATGAGAGAGGCCTGTAATTTTCATCATAGGTACACGTCAACTATGACAGACAAAATGAGAAAAGAAATTCCAGAAAATCACATTGTAGGATTTTTTATGAATTTATTTGCAAATTATGGTGGAAAATAAATATTTGGTCAATAACAAAAGTTTCTCAATACTTTGTTATATACCCTTTGTTGGCAATAACACAGGTCAAACGTTTTCTGTAAGTCTTCACAAGGTTTTCACACACTGTTGCTGGTATTTTGGCCCATTCCTCCATGCAGATCTCCTCTAGAGCAGTGATGTTTTGGGGCTGTCGCTGGGCAACACAGACTTTCAACTCCCTACAAAGATTTTCTATGGGGTTGAGATCTGGAGACTGGCTAGGCCACTCCAGGACCTTGAAATGCTTCTTACGAAGCCACTCCTTCGTTGCCTGGGCGGTGTGTTTGGGATCATTGTCATGCTGAAAGACCCAGCCACGTTTCATCTTCAATGCCCTTGCTGATGGAAGGAGGTTTTCACTCAAAATCTCACGATACATGGCCCCATTCATTCTTTACACGGATCAGTCGTCCTGGTCCCTTTGCAGAAAAACAGCCCCAAAGCATGATGTTTCCACCCCCATGCTTCACAGTAGGTATGGTGTTCTTTGGATGCAACTCAGCATTCTTTGTCCTCCAAACACGACGAGTTGAGTTTTTACCAAAAAGTTCTATTTTGGTTTCATCTGACCATATGACATTCTCTCAATCCTCTTCTGGATCATCCAAATGCACTCTAGCAAACTTCAGACGGGCCTGGACATGTACTGGCTTAAGCAGGGGTCACGTCTGGCACTGCAGGATTTGAGTCCCTGGCGGCGTAGTGTGTTACTGATGGTAGGCTTTGTTACTTTGGTTCCAGCTCTCTGCAGGTCATTCACTAGGTCCCCCCGTGTGGTTCTGGGATTTTTGCTCATCGTTCTTGTGATCATTTTGACCCCACGGGGTGAGATCTTGCGTGGAGCCCCAGATCGAGGGAGATTATCAGTGGTCTTGTATGTCTTCCATTTCCTAATAACTGCTCCCACAGTTGATTTCTTCAAACCAAGCTGCTTACCTATTGCAGATTCAGTCTTCCCAGCCTGGTGCAGGTCTACAATTTTGTTTCTGGTGTCCTTTGACAGCTCTTTGGTCTTGGCCATAGTGGAGTTTGGAGTGTGACTGTTTGAGGTTGTGGACAGGTGTCTTTTATACTGATAACAAGTTCAATCAGGTGCCATTAATACAGGTAACGAGTGGAGGACAGAGGAGCCTCTTAAAGAAGAAGTTACAGGTCTGTGAGAGCCAGAAAACGTGCGTGTTTGTAGGTGACCAAATCCTTATTTTCCACCATAATTTGCAAATAAATTCATAAAAAATCCTACAATGTGATTTTCTGGAGAAAAAAAATCTCAATTTGTCTGTCATAGTTGACGTGTACCTATGATGAAAATTACAGGCCTCTCTCATCTTTTTAAGTGGGAGAACTTGCACAATTGGTGGCTGACTAAATACTTTTTCCCCCCCACTGTATGGGTAACATGGTTGATGTGTTATGCACAACATGCTCAGTTTTCCACCACAAAACACCAGGGTCGGATTACCGAACGGGCAAGCGAGGCACGTGCCCCGGGGCCCCAAATGCAGTACCCCGGCCCTGACTAGAACCAGCACATCTGCTTTTACACTATGATTTGACCAGGCCTATTCAATGTTCTTTTGTAAAAGAACAATTAAGGAATCATTTTACCATATTAAAACGAGAGTTCAGTTCATGTTACAGGGTTGACCTTAAACCTGAGGGACAAATATAAATGAATAACTAATTACATTAAATACATCTTTATAAATTACTTTTCCATAGAAACAAAATAACTAGGGCTTTAAAATAATGTTGAAAACTGGGTTAAAATATTCCCAGAAGTTGGTAAAACATGAAGTGGGACATTCCAAAATTGGGATTATTATAGAAAACAAGTATTTATGTTAATGAAAACACACTGCTATTGGAATTTTTTATGTAGTAATAGTTTTGTTAGAGTGAAGATGTATGTGATCCAACTGTTTGAGTGTTTTATCAAAATTGACACACAATGTCTGAGGGACATAAAAGGAACTCTATTCGTGGAATGACCCAGCTATTTTAAAGAAACATTCAAATGATCTAACAGCAGGGACTGTGAATAACAGATACACATTAAGAATTCCGCCTTTCACTGTGCATCCTGTCAACTACCCTTATATTTTGACTGCTCTGATCGCTCATTTTTATGTTTCTTTACATACACAATGTTTCTGCAGACAGTATGTCAATAAGTCAGCAGACATATCATACGATCATTGCCACGTTAATGTGGCTTATGTGGTCTAGTGGTTTGTGCGACAGAGCATGGCACACACATACCAGAGATACCATGGGTTTGAATCTGCCCCACTGCCCTTCTGAATCCCAATCCCAACCTTTCCTGTCTTCTCTTGGTGTCCTATTTGTTAACTAAAACTGTAAATAAATATTATGTGTTAATGTTCATCCATTTACTCTTCATGTGCTCTTTTTCAGCAGTACCATTTCACAAGGTAGTTAGATGCATCATGGGAGTGGATCAGAACGTATCTACAGTAGTGGACCTGAACACATCTAACATAACCATGGAGTACAGCTCAGTCCGCTCAGTGGAACAAGTCCCTACAGAATACCGCATCACAGGCCTGGTCTTCTATTGTGTCATCTTCACCATCGGCATAGTGGTCAACGTCACCGCATTATGGGTATTTGCCTTGACCACCAAGAGGAGGAACTCCGTCTCGGTCTACATGATCAACGTGGCCATAGTGGATCTCGTCTTTATCGTCCTTCTCCCCTTCCGGATGGTTTACTACGGCCAGGACCAATGGCCGTTCGGAGACATCTTCTGTCGGGTCAGCGCGGCTCTGACTGTCTTCTACCCATGCATGGCCCTGTGGCTCTTTGCCCTGATCAGCACTGACCGCTACGTGGCCATCATCCAGCCCAAACACAGCAAGGAGCTCAAGAACATCCCCAAAGCCCTGGTAGCATGCATCGGGGTGTGGATCATGACCCTGGGTAGCACTGTCCCCTTGATCTTCCCAGACCACGACCCGGATCGCGCCTCCAACTTCACCACCTGCATCAAGATGCGTGACATCATCCACCTGCGAACGGACAACCCCGTCCACTTCGCGCGCCTGGTCTTCTTCTTCCTGGTGCCCATCTGTATTATGATTGGTTGCTACGTGGTCATCGTGGATAACCTCGTCCACGGACGGACTTCCAAGCTCAAGCCCAAGGTCAAGCAGAAGTCCATCAGGATCATCATCACGCTCATCGTCCAGGTGCTGGTGTGTTTCGTGCCCTTCCATGTTTGTTTGGTGGTTCTGTTGCTGGAAGGTGGGAATGGTTCGGATTACAGCACGTGGGGGGCCTTTACAACGTTCCTGATGAACCTGAGTACAGTTCTGGACATTATTCTTTACTACATTGTCTCCAAGCAGTTCCAAGATAGAGTGATCAGTGTGATTCTGTACAGGAACTACCTGCGCAGCGTGCGGAGGAAGAGCAGACGCACACACACAGGAAGTGTGAAGTCAATCAGTAACTTGACCAGTGCCATGATCTGAAGGTGGAAACCAAACTCAACTGTGCAAAAGAAGGTGACCCAGGGACTTACACATGCTTACCTGGCAGACAGTGGCGGTTGGTGACATTTAAGATGTCACCAACCGCAAAACACCAGTCTCAACGTCAACAGTGAAGAGGCGACTCCGGGATGCTGACCTTATAGGCAGAGTTGCAAAGAAAAAGCCATATCTCAGACTGGCCAATAAAAAGAAAAGGTTAAGATGGGCAGTCTGAGATATGGCTTTTTCTTTGCAACTCTGCCTAGAAGGTCATTCCATAAAAAATCAGCCATTTCCAGCTACAATAGCCATTTACAACATTAACAATGTCTACACTGTATTTCTGATCAATTTGATGTTATTTTAAATGGACAAAAAAAATGCTTTTCTTTCGAAAACAAGGATATTTCTAAGTGACCCCAAACTTTTGAACGGTAATGTACATGTTGTATTACCATATCATTTCTGTATGTTCTCTATAGTTATGTACTTGAAAATGTATCAATTGACCAATTTGGCACATTTGGGCAGACTTGATACAAAATAGTCGCACACTGCTGCCATCTCCTGGCCAAAATCTAAATTGCGCCTAAACTGCAATATTATATTGTGGCCTTGCATTTCAAAGATGATGGACCAAAAAATAAAGAGAAGAAAACGCATGTTTTTTGTTTGTATTATCTTTTACCAAATCTAATGTGTTATATTCTCCAACATTAATTTCACATTTCCACAATCGTCAAAGTGTTTCCTTTCAAATGGTATCAAGAATATGCATATCCTTGCTTCAGGTCCTGAGCTACAGGCAGTTAGATTTGGGTATGTCATTTTAGGCGAAAATTGAAAAAAAGGGTCAGATCCTTAAGAGGTTAACAATCATGCATGTTTTGTGTGTTTTCTTCTAAGAAGTAGGCCATAATCATATAAGATTGACGTATAACATTTCTATAAATCCTTTCCAAGTGTGTGTTCGCTCTGGGCTTCATGTTCAACTCATTAAAAAAAAGGATTTGAATTCACACTCTCACTGTACGGGAGCATTGTTTTAACATAAACATCTGGGAATAGTCAGGACTAATTGAATTACCCCTGAGACTACTATACAGCAAATGTACACTACCGGTCAAAAGTTTTACAACACCTACTCATTCAAGGATTTTTCTTAATTTTTACTATTTTCTACATTGTAGAATAATAGTGAAGACATCAAAACTATGAAATAACACATATGGAATCATGTAGTACCCAAAGAAGTGTTAAACAGATGAAAATATATGTTATATTTCAGATTCTTCAAATAGCCACCCTTTGCCTTGATGACAGCTATGCACACTCTTGGCATTCTCTCAACCAGCTTCACCTGGAATGCTTTTCCAACAGTCTTGATGGAGTTCCCACATATGCTGGTCACTTGTTGGCTGCTTTTCCTTCACTCTGCGGTCCAACTCATCCCAAACCATCTCAATTTGGTTGAGGTCGGGGGATTGTGGAGGCCAGGTCTTCTGTTGCAGCACTCCATCACTCTCCTTCTTGGTAAAATAGCCCTTACACAGCCTGGAGGTGTGTTGGGTCATTGTCCTGTTGAAAAACAAATGATTGTCCCACTAAACCCAAACCAGATGGGATGGCGTATCGCTGCAGAATGCTGTGGTAGCCATGCTGGTTAAGTGTGCCTTCACAGACAGTGTCACCAGCAAAGCACCCCCACACCATAACACCTCCTCCTCCATGCTTTACAGTGGGAAATACAAATGCAGAGATCATCCATTCACCCACACCGCGTCTCACAAATACACAGCGGTTGGAACCAAAAATCTCTAATTTGGACTCCAGACCAAAGGACAGATTTCCACCGGTCTAATGTCCATTGCTCGTGTTTCTTGGCCCAAGCAAGTCTCTTGTTATTATTGGTGTCCTTTAGTAGTGGTTTCTTTGCAGCAATTCGACCATGAGGGCATGATTCACACAGTCTCCTCTGAACAGTTGATGTTGAGATGTGTCTGTTACTTGAACTCTGTGAAGCATTTATTTGGGATGCAATTTCTGAGGCTGGTAATTTCTAGGAGCAACAACGGCTCAGCCGCAAAGTGGTAGGCCACACAAGCTCATAGGACAGGACCACCGAGTGTTGAAGCGCGTAACGCGTAAAAATCGTCTGTCCTCGGTTGCAACACTCACTGCCTCTGGAAGCAACTTCAGCACAAGAACTGTTCGTCGGGAGCTTCACGAAATGAGTTTCCTTGGCCGAGCAGCCGCACACAAGCCTAAGACCACCATGTGCAATGCCAAGCGTCGGCTGGAGTGGTGTTAAGCTCGCCGCCATTGGACTCTGGAGCAGTGGAAATACGTTCTCTGTAGTGATGAATCATGCTTCACCATCTGGCAGTCCGACGGACTAATCTGGGTTTGGCGGATGCCAAGTGAACGCTACCTGCGCCCAATGCATAGTGTCAGCTGTAAAGTTTGTTGGAGGAGGAATAATGGTCTGGGGCTGTTTTTCATGGTTCGGGCTAGGCCCCTTAGTTCCAGTGAAGGGACATTTTAACGCTACAGCATACAATTACATTCTAGATGATTCTGTGCTTCCAACTTTGTGGCAACAGTTTGGGGAAGGCCCTTTCCTGTTTCAGCACCCCCATGCACAAAGCGAGGTCCATACATAAATAGTTTGTCGAGATTGGTGTGGAAGAATTTGACTGGCCTGCACAGAGCCCTCACCTCAACCCCATCAAACACCTTTGGGATGAATTGGAATGCTGACTGCGAGCCAGGCCTAATCGCCCAACATCAGTGCCTGACCTCACTCATGCTCTTGTGGCTGAATGGAAGTAAGTCCCCGCAGCAATGTTCCAACATCTAGTGGAAAGCCTTCCCAGAAGAGTGGAGGTTGTTATAGCAGCAAAGGGGGGACCAACTCCATATTAATGCCCATGATTTTGGAATGAGATGTTCTACGAGCAGGTGTGCACATACTTTTGGTCATGTAGTGTAGCTTCTTTGGGCTTAACAGGAAAGTCAGCATAAATCGTCTGTCATCTCTGAGCGGTGTTACATCTCAAACAGGAAACAGTGGTGGAAGTCAGTAAAAAGTTAGAGGGTCTGTGTTCTTAGGCCTTCGGTTGTGGTTTTGTATCATAGCTACAGTACATTGTTTATAGTATCTTCTGTTATGACAAAACATTATCTTAATCTCCTCAAAGTAACCATTTAAAAATTCAAAACAAAATGATCCATGTAATGTGATAATAACCAAGGGGAGGCACTATAATACAGGAACAAGTGTTCTCTTCTTCTGAGCTGCTGTTTCATAGCACAACCAGATAGTGGCAGTGTAAGTGTACCACAGAAAATGACACTAGAGCCACCTGTCCAGCACAAGGAAAATTGAAGGAATTTCAATAGAAATAGTTTGTTTAGATGACAATCCTGTTCAAAGACTGAAATTATCCAACTTGATCAATATTTTTTAATCTACTATGCATAATATTTCATTCCAAAAAGGCAATTATTTCAACACATGGGTAGTACTGTAAGTCCAAAATTTGATCTGGCTACAGCTCAATTAATTTGTGTGGAGTAGTGCAAGCTAGTCAGGAAGTTTTGAGCAAGAGGCAGGCGACATTTTGGATGAAAATATGTCTGTTTGTGACGTCATGGTCAGGTTTTATACTGATTGCAAAATCGTTTTTCCACATGACCAGACAAATGTTTTTCTTCAATGACCAGACAAATGCTTTAAATTAACTTCAGATACGGAATAGTGGAAGTTAACCAATATATTACTTTTCCAATGTGTAGCAAGGAAGTGGTCCTCTGTAGCTCAGCTGGTAGAGCACGGCGCTTGTAACGCCAGGTTAGTGGGTTCGATCCCCAGGACCACCCATACACAAAAATGTATGCACGTATGACTGTAAGTCGCTTTGGATAAATGGCATATTATTATTATTAAAATACATTGGTTGTACAGTAAGTTGGTTATCTGATGTAGCTTCAACCAGAAAACCAGATGTAATCCAGAAAATTACATCATTATGACATCCCATGCCACATTTGGCTCACTGGGAAATAGAACCAAAGATAGACCATTACAGAATACAGGGTAGCCTACAGTGATGAAAATAATGAAACAGAAGAATACTGTTGGGGGACATTGTACAAAACATACAGAAATGTCATGAACAAAGATACATGCTGTATATGATGCAGATAAGAAAATAAATCATATTTGTTTCTATTTCACATTGCTATTATACTCTATACTGCACCACTTTAAGGGCTGATGGAATGGCTTTCCATTTGGGTTTATTATACTATACCCAAATCCTAGACCCATGGCAATTTTGCAGTAAACATTAAAATGTCCATATTGATGTAGTCAAAATGAATGTAATTTAAAGAGATAGTTTACCCAAATTAGAAATGTACTTGCTTTTTAATTGATAATAAGCAAGTCATTTATTGACCCTGCGAGTCAGTGGACCTTGGCTTACAGGTAGCATTAACATCACTGTGATCAAAACAATGGCCGTGGCAGGGCCTATGGTCGAAACGACCTCAGTCGGTAACTTGAGGGCTAACAGCTCATGTCATGAATGTAATGTTAGTCATAGCTGGTTAACTTGATGAGTCACTGTATGACTGAACATCATTCATCCTGGTGATTATCCTGGGCCCTGTAGTAGCCTATATGATTACACACAGGCCTCTTTCAGCCTCTAAATGACATGGCAGACCTGAATATCCACAGACCTCATTTTACTTAGCAAGGGGCTGTATTAATCCCCAGTCATGGATACTGTGAAGCATTGTCTCATTAGAACTGGAGTTTGTTCTGTCATGCAACATGATAGCTACGTCACAATGAACGCTAATAGCCTCTTGCTTCATACTCTTTGTGTAGGAAGTCACCCCGCTACTTATGGTAATGTCATATCGCTTAATCTATCTTTAAAGGTAAAATACTTAGAAATCGCTCCGCCATTTCCCGGTTGCTAAAATTC